CTTTGGGTGTCAATGAGTCTCAATGAAAGCACTGGCCTAGGTCACAGAGCAATAGATAAGTCTGTTAATTATGGAATGATAATTTCGTCTTTCTCTCTGAGGCTTTCCATGCCCCCCCCCCCCTCACCCCCACCCTCTATGATGTTTGCCGGTAACCGCAGAGGTTATGGAGAATCTTATCGGGATTGCTTCCTTTATAATTTCAGAACTGAATATCGAGTGTTTTAAGAACAATACTTTACAAGGCCCAGTAGCCAAAGATAGAATAATGGATTTTTCAAACACAGTGGAAAAGTGTCGAATCGACCAATCCAGAACGCTTCCCGTATCAGACTCTACCAATGCCAGACAAAAAACCATTAATGATCATTGCATGTAAGTAGCCATCTTGAATATTTGACGCTGATCCTGAATTTATAGTGGCCATCTGAAAATTTGCGGCCAGCTTGAATTATTAGAAACCATCTTGCATCATCATTGGTAGCCCTTTATATCTTGTGGCCATCTTGGATTATTAGATACCATCTTGCATCATCATTGGTAGCCCTTTATATCTTGTGGCCATCTTGGATTATTAGAAACCATCTTGCATCATCATTGGTAGCCCTTTATATCTTGCGGCTATCTTGGATTATTAGAAACCATCTTGCATCATCATTGGTAGCCCTTTATATCTTGCGGCTATCTTGGATTATTAGACACAATCTTGCATCATCGTAGCTTTACGACCATCTTGGATTCAAACGTAGAAGAGTGACGCCATTTTTTTTTTCTTTTTCAGAAATTATAATGTGGGTTACGACTGTGTTCGCAGGATTTTTGCCGATAGATGTCACCGTACCCGAAATCACATCAAAGTCTTCTACGATTATCTTAGACCGGGAGAATGTTCGGCGCCATTTTGTCATGCATCAATTATATTGTTACTATGTTCGTTGTTAATTACGAAATATTTCCTTTAGATGATAATTATATAGCATAGCATAGTCATTCGCAAGATATGGAGACCGCGGGCTCTTCACATACGTCATTCGAAATCAGAAAAGTGGAAAATATAAAGACAGGACATACAGTTTATTACTGTTTATAAGATATATAGAAGTAGGAAGATTAGAATAAAACACAAAGATATATGGATATACTACTTCTGCATTTATTACATACTACGTTTCGAAACACATACAGGTAACGTCACAAGATCAAGTAAAATGATTAACTCTTGGTCAATTTGTTGCTTGTTGTACCCTTTGTTGTCATACTTATCCTTAACTAGTGCTTCTTTGTTGTTATAATTTGTTCTTTTATCTTCCCAATTTCTTCTGAGATCTCCTTATAAATTGTATTGTTTTTTGTTGTTAATCAAACGACTACCATTCGACTACCAATCAACAAGAAATACCATGATCAGAACGAGTTTGGAGGAATGAAAGAGATCGAGTAACTCACGCCACACCATCCAGGGCCGAGTTTCACCGCCATGTCATTCGACCCGACACAGAATCATCAAATTTGAACCAATCCAACAACCACGACTATCAACAACTACCTAGTTTGCGATATCAGCATCCGCTGGAAGCGAACGTTAACTTGTCATCTATCAACCAACCAGCTGTTGTTAATCATTTTACTTGATAACGTTACCTGTATGTGTTCCGAAACGTAGTATGTAATAAATGCAGAAGTAGTATATCCATATATCTTTGTGTTTTAATACAGTCTATTGGTTGATAATACTAATTTTGAAATGAATTTATTGATATATCCGATTCAATGATCCACTGTGCTTCGAATTTAGCAGCAATACGTTTATCAAGGACATCATTCGTATTTCACAGTTTTGTTGAACCAATCAAAACATGCAAATGGTTACTTAAATTGATACTACGTCTTAGAATGAACATAAAATCTAAGTTCTCAAAATGGTCAATATGAGTATATATTCATCAGTTAACTTACCTGGTGTCATAAAGTTACAACAGAATCCCTGTAAAATCTAGAAAATTGGAAAATTCATAAAACTAAGTAATTATTGAAAAACGCTTAATCTTGATATTAAGCGTTTTTCAATAGTTAATTGCATATTTATGGATAATTACTAAGTTTTTTGGATTTATCGGATTATATTAGGATCCTGTTATGTTATTTATGACACCAGGTATATCTACTGGCTCTTATTGACCAAGTTTAAAATTCTTAAATTTTATGTTCATTCTAAGACGTAATATCACTTTAAGAATTTGTTTAAAGATTTGCTGGATCACTTACCTTCGTTTGATCTATTGATCGCTCTCTTCAGTCAGCGCTGGAATACTTCTAATACTGCCCAATGGGACTCTATAGCAATTACATTTTATGCAAATTAAACGACTATCAAGAATGATTTATTGTTTATATTGTTCAAGATCTCTTGTATACAACGTATATTTGTACATATTCTCTTGCTGCATGCTCTTTTTTGAGAGCATAGATAATTACTGCATATTTTTTCCAAGAAAATAGAATTATCATCAATATTATCAAATGCAATAAGAACATAATGATATGATTAAGAATACATGATAATTCATTAGAAACACCAATTAATCAAATAGTTTGCTTAATTTGAGACTAAAAAATAAGGAAACCCATCTTTAATTACTTTGAATTCTAGGGTATATATTTTTATATGAAATCTATAATTGTTTCATGCGGGTCTCTATCACTTGTTGCATACTCATTCTGAGAACACATTTCTCTTGCTTCTTTGAGAACATCAGTCATTTTTATGTATGTTCTCTTAGCTGTATCATGCTCTGTTTGCAGGTTTCAATCAGTTGTTGCATACTCATTCTGAGAACACGATAAATTCACTTCCTTTTTTGTGTATGTTCTCTTTGAAAGCTTATGCTTGCTTTTTTGAGAACATACAATTCATGTTATTCTAGTTGATTTAAGCTGTTTTTGAATGTTTGTTTTTTTTTACAATAAATGTTTACAGATATCAAACTTTGTTCTGTTAACACCCTTCTTTCTGTTTAAATGGGGCCCTTCTTTCTGTTTAAAGGGGGCCATTCTTTCTGTTTAAACGGGGCCCTTCTTTCGGTTTAAACGGGGCCCTTTGTTCTTTTAAAACCCTTTTTCGGTTTTAAGGAAACGTCTCGTCGTTCCGACGTGGCAATTAACCGATTGTTTGTGTTTTACATGCTGGTCAATATATAGCCCCAATGGAATTAGCAAAAACGTCCGTGCATATATCAAGGCAAAATTGTCCCCATTGCTTAAGTGTACTCAGCTAGTTGAGAAAATCTGGACGTAAAACTCCATCGTATTTCATGTGAGTAAAACATAAGGGTAGTATCCAACTACTGTACATTTCATCAGTCCAAAAGAGTGCAGATATGTGGATGTAAAACCCCATTTCAATAACATTAGATAGCTTGCATTAGCATTGCTTGGGAGCCGCGGTGGCTCAGTGAGTTAGACGCTTGCTCGCTAACCTGAAGGTCCGTCATAGGTCGAGATAATACCTTCGGATTTTTCAACCCGGTTTCCCCCTGTCAGTGATGCAG